TCATATCCTACAGAGCATGTGCATCTCAGCTCTTCCTGTTCTGCATTGCAGTGACAGGAGAATGTTACCTCCTGGCTGTGATGGCCTATGACCGGTTCATAGCCATCTGCAAGCCTTTGCTTTACCCTGTCATCATGTCCAGGAGGTTTTGCGTGCTCCTCGTATGTGGCTCCTACTTCATGAGCTGTGTGAATGCAACTGTCCAGACGACATTTATATTCCGCTTGTCCTTCTGCAATTCCAACGTCATCAACCATTTCTTCTGCGATGTGCCCCCCATCCTGAAACTCTCCTGCTCTGACACTTACATTACTGACCTTGTCCACTTCACTTGTGCTACTGTGCTTGTCACCTCCACTATGCTCCTCATTGTCGTATCCTACATATGCATCGGGGTCACCATCCACAAGATTAAATCGGCGAAAGGCAGATGCAAAGCTTTCTCCACCTGTGCTTCCCATGTGACTGGTGTTACCATGTTCTACGGGACAGGCTCCTTCATGTACTTGAGACCCACTTCAAAATACGCTGTGGAGAACGACAAGATCATCTCTGTGTTTTATACCCTGGTAATTCCCATGCTGAACCCTGTGATTTACAGCTTGAGGAATAAGGAGGTCAAAGAAGCCCTTCGAAGGACAATAGCAAGGCTGTATTGCTCTCAAAGAAAACAGTCAGAGATTCAGTGATCTGAGACAAACTGATGTGATCTTACTGTTGAAACAGGCGAATTTAATACACAAGTAGGTGAGCTCTCCCCTGCCAAAAGGAAAAGAAAGGGGAGCAATATCCAAAACTGCCYGTTGCCACATCTCTGTTTTCTGAAATAGGCTAAGTCAACCCMTTCCTATTGAAGGGCTCCTTTTCTTCCCCTCACCCTGAAGAGAGGGATGCACCACAGCAGTCCTTAGGAGAATGCTTCAAGTGGTGACAGTCACTAGCTCAATKGCAATGCACTCAATGTAAATTAGGAGTGCCTCACACCTGATCTCATGCTGTGACCTGTAGTTGCAGCTACGGATATTGTCAGACAAGTCCACTGAAAACAACTATATGCATTCTTGTTTATTTGGAAGTCAAAGATAGTAGGATGTACCTGGATTTTGATGGATCTACTAGCAGGATCTTGAATTTAAGATACTTACTGTATAAAAGTCTAAAACTGAGTTGGGCTTTCTGGATTCCTTTATGCCTGTTGATTCCAACTTTTAGAAACAGGCATCTCAAGTTCATATGTTACATCATAGCACACTTTCATGCCAGATGACCCTACGTGTTGATTATATGCTGCCAATTACTACACATGCTCCAGCAACTCCTGTGTTTCAGTTGCCCAGATAATACCTGCAATAGTGGGTGAAGGAAGAGATCGACTTTTAGGAAAAAGCAGATCACCTCATCCCTGCATCTCTGTTCTCATTAGGGCTTCATAAAGCGGAATCCTGATACCAAGTTTAATGCAAGAGATCAACAAATATACTATCCCCTGGGGTATTGGTCCTTCTCCATAATGTGATGGGAAGCTCCCCCTTGGACCAGGATAAACCCGGTCCAATTCATGTATGTTGTGAGTACTTCTCTCAAATAAAATCTTACCCAAAGAAATCACATGAATGTGTCATTATGGTGGGGGAAAACAAATCCTTATTTACAGCAGATATGACCAAGGAGGTGCTTGCTATTCTTGTGGTAGAAACCTGCCTCATTAATGATGTGGCATAGGGARTCCAGCAGGATGAACTTTAGGAAGAAAAGCACTTGAAGGAAATAGGCTCAGCATATGAAATGAAAGAAGTCAAGAACATAGACAATAAAAACAGAGACTGGTGCTTGATGGCATGGAGAACCTTCAGGTTGGATGGAGGGTGAGAATGAGGCTTTCTTTTTTCAGATTTTTTCCTTTATGTAAGAAGATGTGTACCTGGGGAGACTGAATCATTGCACATCCCCGTTCTCAGTGCTCATCAACACCACGGGCAGGAATGGCAACTGCACCCCACCCAACCACTCCTCATAGATCCCTGTAGGATAGCCCAACTCTAAGAGGAGATGAACCATGCCATCCTCTGAGAGCAACTTCAGGCGATTAGTGGGAAAAACAACAGATAATGAAGTACAGGTTTTGACATTAACATGGTTTAAAACAGAAGCCTTACAACAAATTGAAGAAAGCAGCTAGGAGCAGAAGACCAAAACAACTGAGTTTGGTACATAAAAGATGATTTGCTTGTACCCAACATCACCACCTCAGCAATATCTAGATTCTGCATACTTTTTAATGACATCATAATGGAGTCCTATAAACCTGGATGGTTCATAGTTTAGTGGCAGCCATTGTGAATAAAAAAAGGTGGATCAAGGTCAATTCATTTTAAGTTATAATGGTGCGGGCATCAGAGGCAATAATTTATCTTCACCATATCTACCTTTGGAGAGTRTTACCATGCAGCAAAAAACAAGGGGAAAAAGTGAAACAGTGATGGCAAACACACTTGGAGACCCCAGGGGTACCAAATGCCACCTCAGTAGATTTCCAAGTCCCACTCAGAATCACCCAGTGGTTGTTTTCATCTGTTAATCCAAACTGCAYCCAGGCCACATGGGTGAGTGTGAGCGCATAGCAGATCAGTATCTGATCAGCAACTAAATAAAGCAGGAAGAGTGGAGGAGAGGGTTATGAAACTTATGGTAGAGAGTGTATACCTCACTTCAGCATATAACCCCTGAGTCAAGCCTAAGCAATGGTTTACTGGAAGTGGTTGGGTGTGCTGGGAAAAATGGACCACCAATTGCCCAAGGATTTACAAACACATAACACCAGCTAAAGAAACCAATTGCATTGACCTGAAACTGTTGATAACCAGAAAGTGGCCTTGCTTGGATTTTCTACACTGCAGTGTCATTTTTCAGTCAGAGGACTACCCAGGCCTGTGGGCACCCGAGCCTACAGGCAAGATGAGGACTCTCTCTAGCCATATGATCCAAGGAGATAGCCATGTGTTGCACCTAGCTGTCAGTATCCTACAACTGAGCATGTGTCAGAGCCAAAGAACCAGRACTTTCTCCATGGACTATTACTCTTAATGACGTGTAGCTGATACTGCTTTAACACGTCCATGCAGTTCTGCCTCTAAAAGGTGGTGCCACCCATGTCAGGTCTTCCACACTCATGGTTAACAACCAGTAGGGTCGGTTTCCCATCCCAATAGGGACAATTCACATAGGGAGGCACCCCGAGGAGGCACTCAAAGGGAGGAGAGAGGGAATGGGGCAGTTTCTCTTGATAATACCTTCAGGTGGAGTACTGTTAAGGTACACAGGCAGATGGCTATCCATGACCTGAGCTTAAACTAACAGAAACCGCTGGGCAACRCAGAGGGTGAAATAGGTGTGTTAGGAATTCCTCATAGGTGAAGGATTTCAAAAGACAACGAAATAGGATTGTTATCTTACCAAAATTGTTCTGTAAGACTACACTTACCAATGTAATTGCATAAATATGAAATACAGGTATAAAACCAGGAAAAGAGGAGTCAAAAGGGAAAGTATAACTGGGAGAGAAAGAGAAAAAAGAGAAATATAARCTAAAGAAGATCATATTAATAGAGCTGCTTGTGAGTACCTATTGATTATTCCAGAATCTGACCATCACAGCCTGAAACAGGACAATAAACTTTTACTTCTGACCACAATACATCAAAGTTGATTTCCCAGTCAAAGAATCCTGCACTATTTCTTCTAACATCAGCAAAATGGTCTGGAAGACCCAGTGGACTCCTGTAACATCCCAAGAAATATACATCCACCATGCAGGGAAAGAGAGAGAACTGATAACTAGTCCCTAAAATCATAAATATGTTTCACCATTCTTTTTTAAATGTAGGATTTCTGTGTTCAGGTGCCACCACTAGAACAAGGTGCCAGCCTTTGGCTTTCTGCCTTCTGCCACATAGAAGCACATAGCTTGTCTTTGTAGGAATTTGCAGGATAGATAACAATCCCCTGCTACCACTAAGGGATAAGGCAAATTGTTGCTCAGACTCACACAGCTTAAGGATAAAGCTCAGAGTCAGAATGTTAAAGTCAGTCACCAGGAGAGGAAAAAGAGATAAAAATAAGAAAGATTTTAGATATACCGAATTATGATGTTACAGGGGGAAAAAAAAAAAAAAAAAAAAAAAAAAAAAAAAAAAAAAACCCCACCTCTCTATCTTGAATCTTCTGTGACCTAATTGGGAAGCACCTTGGAAAATGCTTTATAAGAATACTGGAGTTACTCCCTTCCCCACCAAGTTACCCTTGTAAAGAAGAATGAAGAATGAATTTAGAGCACGAGTGTGGGTTGCAACAAGTCTTCTCTCAATGAGATGTTGTTAATCCATGTAAACCAAACAGAAGATAGCTTTTTTTTTTTCCTCCTAAAGAATGATGCTAATCAATTACCAAAGCTAATGAAGCCTCTTCCAAAAGTCAGTTCAGATCAAGGTCTTCACAGTCAGCAGATCTGAATTTTCATCTAGGTACAGTTTGTACRGTAGGAAATTTTTGAAAGGTATTCTCAAGGAGAAAAAGCACAGCAACCACTGCTACAGAAAAGAAGCATCAAGGAAGTTATAGAGCTCTGTCAGAGCTCTTTTTAGTCTCTTCTTTCACATATTATTAGTAAGAATAACTTTTTCCCYCCCTTACAGAATAGGCTCCTAAGAAAAAGAATCTGTACAATAAAAAGGCTAAGAAATCAAGTTCATTCTCTTCCCTAAAGCTATAAAAGAAGTAGCATGCTCTAATAGTGAAGTACTCAACTTTTCAACCATTGGAAACAAGATTATCCTCCACATTAAACTTCACATACAATACTTACCCCAATTAAAAAGTAACCTCCTCTCCTTGCAACAGACCTTTCATAGAGTGAGGTAGAGGAAGGGCATGTGGGTGGGAATCACAGCTGTTGCTCCTATATAAATGCCATCCTTAACCACAGCTGTGGTTTTTGTTTGTTYGTTTTTCTTTCCTTCTGTAAGGCAAAAGAGTGGAAATTGGGTCTTAGGTGCTGAGAGCAAAAGGTCTGCAGTAGTTTGCCTGGTAAGTGTCTTAGTTTAAAAAAATACCTTGAGAGTTTTCTTTAATAAGGTAATTAAAAAGCTTAGATGCATTGAGCAGCTAACTTGCAGTGTTTCTAGCTTTTAAAATTTTATCAAAGTGGTCTTGCTTGGATTTTTTCTTTTTTGTATGGCTATGGGTGTTCYATAGTGCTCTTTGGTTCCTTCAACCATACTACATGTTCTCTTTTTTTGAAGTGGAAACCTAYGGGACTGTGAAATTTTAGGCTAATTTCCTAGATAAATTCTCTGTAGGTCTCCTACTTTAGTCTTTTGCTCTAAGTAGGGCTAATTAAATTAAAGCACTATGGGTCTYGTCCAATGTTTGTTTCCCCTGTCTCCAAGTATGAAGACTTCACAATCTCTCTAACCTTCTGTCCTAGTGCTTTGTTATCCTCCAGGTGAAAAATATTTTCTTTGTTAAAAAATTTGTTTRTATTAAAACTTTTCATCCTGTAAGCACCACGTATAAGCAGCAAGGGTGGAAGTTAGTCTAGCCTGTGCTGTGAGGCCTGTGATATCTTTTAATAGGGCCTCTTCCAGACTGGGTTCAATGGGCATGTGTGAAAGTGGGACCTCTCACTTCTCTTTCTTTGGGTGTCTAGTTACCAAGTACTGAGCTCAAGAGAAAAACTCTGTTTAGGTGCCAAAGCAGAAATATTCAGTACTCTCTACTACGCTTGCTATTATGTATGCTATTTCCCTTCTGCCTTTAATGTCCCTAGTTTTGATATGGGGGAAGAACCTCTTTTTCTGAAAGTGTTTGGGAATTTAATAAAGGCTCCTGACTCAAATTATTGCTTGACTTGGTCAGTAACAGAACAATCCAAAGCAGACGTCCTTTCCAGCCTTAGGGACAAAGGTTCCTGATTCCCAAGCTTGGGAACATATGTCAGAGTGAAAAGCATGTGCYTTCTAACAATACGTGCCATTTAAAATGGTTTCCCACTTACATAAGGGAATGGGGATTAATTAGAGGTACCTAGGCCTGGATTGTTAACGCTGAGCTGTTATGTCATGAGTGCTCACTTGGACTGCACGGGATATGATACTGAATAAGCTGTTACTGTGCGCCGTGGAGCTGAACCAGGGRCCTGGATTACCTAACTTGTCTCTCCTCTAGTCTTCTCCCTCAAAGTAGGAGAGAATATGTGAGGCGTGACTCTTAGGCTTCCTTGAGTCCATGTGAGGAGTAATGTATRTRCTTAGGCACTTAGGGACACRGTTTAGTARGCATGGTGTTGAASGGTTTATGTTTGGACTCTATGATCATAAAGGYCTCTTCCAATCATTATGATTTTATGTATGTTATCTCTTTGTTTTGTGTGTTGTTTTCTCTTCAGGCGATTTTTCCTCTATCAGGGTACTGCAACTGTCCCCTGACATCGGTGCACATCCCAAAGCGCAACCASCAATGGCTTCCCTGAGTCAACTGGAGGTCCTTACCATAGACACCGCTTGTGCCATTTGTATGGACTACCTGCAGGACCCTGTTATGATTCCTTGTGGCCACAGCTTTTGTAGAGCCTGTATCACCCAATACTGGAAGCCAGTGGTTAAAGACTTTAGCTGCCCGACGTGTCGGCATGTTTGTGCTCAGCAAATCATGTACCCCAACCGGCAGCTGGCCAGCATAGTAGAGGCAGCCAGGCAGTTGCCTTTTGTCAAGGGAAAGATACAGGAGGAGGAGATCTGCTACAAGCATCATGAGGCCATCAATCTCTTCTGCAAGGAGGACCAGGAAGCCTTGTGTGTTGTTTGTGCAGTCTCCCATGGCCATCTCTATCATTCGGTAGGGCCCCTAGATGGAGTCCTCAAAAACTACAAGGTAAGCAATTGGGATCTTCCAGAAACACTGCTAGAAAGCATTTCCTTTACAGGGTTTGAGATACCTGGTGATCCAAACAAGTGCAGGGTCCTGCAGCTGGAGAGGAATAAGCCCAGGCACCAGTACACAGTAGCGGTTGACCTGCTGGAAAGCAGCTCTGTGGAGAAGAATTTGGGAGTTCTGGCTGAAAACAAGTTAACCATGAGCCAGCAATGTGTTCTTGTAGCCCAGAAAGCCAATGGGATCATGGCATTCATTAGGAGGAGTGTTGCCCACAGATGGAGGGAGATGATCATACCCTCTATTCGCCTCTGGTGAGGCCACACCTGGAATATCTTGTGCGGTTCTAGGCTCCCAAGTGGATGTGGAACTTCTGGCCAACATTTCATTTCTATGGTCCAGTAATGAAACTAGAAACTCTTCATTACATCAAGCAGGAACAAGAACTAAGGCAGCTGTATGAATATATGTGGAAATATACTGGTATAGGTTTATTTCCACATATATTCATCAACAGCTTGAGATGACACCATACAAAACTGTAGTAGATTCAGACACTAGAACCATGTCACTGCTCAATGGTTCTCCAGCTTGACGCCGAAGAAACATTCCAGCAGCTCTGTGATATGTGGTTCACCCTCTGAGGATACCTAAACTAATTAAGCTAGCTTTGTTGATGACTAGAGTTCTGTTTGACAYATGTACCTGTTCATTTCACCCTGCGGTAGATGCATGGTCAGTTGATTAGCTTTCTAGAGCACTCCTGTAATTGTACTGGGAATTCAGACATCCAATTCATGTAAATGTAGTTGTTTTAATCCTGGACAGAATCCAAACAATGGCATCTGCACAAGTTATATCCAAAGTACTGGATGCATTTTTCAGGTCCATTTTTAGGAATCACAGCTTAAGATTCAGTTTTAGTCATCTTCAGAGGTGTATTAGAGCAAAATTTCCAATATTCCACTGAGTAATTCCTTCTGTTTCATATCTGAGGGTTGAATCAAAAACTCAATTTTTGATTCAGACATATAGTGGGTTTCCTGGTGATTGACTCCCCAGAGGAAAAAATAAACAGTGTAGAACTGTCTTTCTTTGACTCCTTGTCCGTACTTCTAGCTGCTGCTCAGAAGTTAAAATTTGAGGGCAGAGGTATATTAAACTTGYATTGCTGCTGTATGCACAGCTCTTCAGAACTGTGTTAACTTCAAAAAGTATATAGTGCATGATGCAGGCTATTCAGTTTGAAGGTTACTGAATTTTTCAGGTTGCTGAAATTCATAATGGACACCCCATGACAGCAAACTGCATGAAGGGACATGTCAGATCCATTGGAATATCATTCTCTAATAGTATAAACCAAGCCTTATAATCCAAGGGTTGGTTCAGCATGTGATCCCTTGGACCATTTTGTCTGAGTAGAATCTCTTGCCCTTCAGGATAAGCTACAAGCTTGCTTGGAGGACCTGGGCCGGAAAGCAAAGGATTTGAAGGAACATTTATCCATGGAGGAGAAAAAGCCCAAGGAGTTGAGGGTAAGTAGAGTGAAGAAGGGGAAGAGCTCAAGGAGTGGGGTAGGAACGTTTTCTGTAGGCCCACCCAGCTGGTATGAACTGGAGTGGTGGAGTAGATTCAGAAAAGTTGTCAAGAGGGGCTTTTTTCCTTCCCTGAGGGTGTTGACGCATCTCATAGCTGTGGACTGATCTACTCTATAATATCCCAGTGAATTCTCTGCCTGACAGGAGTTAGTGCGCAACTGTCATAAGCGCATCACCTATGACTTTAAAGAGCTGCAGTCCTTCCTGGAGCAAGAGAAAGACCAGCAGTTGCATTGCCTGAGAGCAGAAGAGACTGAGATCTTGGGGAGGCTGAAGACCACCAGAGCGCATCTCTCGGAGCAGTGCTGCTCTCTCAACACCCTCATGGTGGACATGGAGAGATGCCTGGAGTCCAGAGCAGGGGTGCTCAAGGTGTGTATGATGGGGCTTTTTTATCACCCATGTATGGATCACACATTTTAAAAAAACTCCTGTTGCAGTTCATTTTTCTGGGTATTGAAGCTATACCTTCATTTTTAGAGGTAACTATTAATCTGTATGGCTCAAAGTCATCTCTAAGTCATCAAAATGACTTTAATCTGTTGTGGTGAGGAAAAGGCCGAGTTTTAATGTGGTCACAGTAAAGCAAGACTTTATATMCAAAAGGTAAAAATGTAAGGTATGCATCATCATCCTCATCTAGATAAGTTGCACCCAAGTGCTGCCTTTCTTTCCATTCCTCAACAGAATAATTGGCAAAATTAATGACTCCCGGGTTAGAAAAAAACCCAGGACTAAACGTAAGAAGATTACTGGGAATGCAGGCACATTCTAAAATATTGAGGTTGATGGGAGGGTTCCTTGGTGCAATTTGACTTACTGCCTTTCCTCTTCTTTTCTAGGACATGCAAAGCCTCTTGCAGAGGTGAGGTGTCCTACTAATCTTTCTGTTTRGGAGTGGGGGAGAAGATGGGATAGGGAAGAAGCCAGTAGTAGTTGAAGATGCAATTGCCTGGTAGGACTGCTGATTTCCTCTGGGATTAATATCATATAGCACTATAACAGAATGATACACCTGGAAAATAAAACCTGCAATACTTCTGATCTGTCCGTTGCCTTTTCTCAAACCACGATAATTATACAGATTCTGAACCTATTTCTGAATTGTCAGCTTCTTTCCCTTAAAATTTCCTGTTGTGGTTTCTCAAGGAGAATACAGACTTTCAGTAAGCTTCCACCATTTCAACCTTAGCAGAGCAATACTTCCGAGAAGCAACTTTTACATTTTGTATTAGGGAATGGTATCTTCTAGACATGGTTTTTTCTTTTTCTTTTTTTTTAAACTTTATCTAGATAAGGACTGCCTTTTTTCCCCCCTAGGTATGAAACTTTTAAGAATCTGGAGTTGCCTTCTGTCTCTGTGGAGCTGAAGAGGTCAATGGCCTATTTCCCTAGGCCATTATTTCACCTTAARAAGATGCTGAAGAAGTACACAGGTAATTAAGTTATATAAAGGAGAACCAGGTCTGGGACTTGGGTCCTGTTCTTGGCTTCAAAAAGTGTCTTTTGTTTGGCGGTGAATTCACCTGTACGCCCAGGCCTGGCATTTAAAATGTTGAAGAGACTAAATTTGACTCGGCTTTTAGATGGTTGTCTTGTTGGTCACCCCAGTAAATGGGCTTGAAGATATTTTTGTGGGCCTCTTTGTGGTTGAAAGTCTGTTATATTAGTGCATGTGCTTAACAGTACCCCTGTCATTCTGCTGAAGAGCAGAAGGGACCCCTGATCCCAGTATTTTTAGACTGGGGCTGGAGAGGTGAAGCAGGTGACAGTATAGACTAATGTAGTCTAGCAAAGGAAGGTAMCTGAGAAGTAACTTGAGGAGAAAGGCAGCAGAGCATAGAGCTAAGATGGTTTGGGGTAGAGACTCTGAGAAGGCAACTCAAGCCTGTGGTTCTGGTGAGGATAGGAGGTATGGAGGTCTCTCAGACCTCCAGCTACCTTGTGAATGGACAAATGTCTATGTAATTGCTCTTCTCCAGTTGGTTTTTCTGGGGTGAGGTGTCAGAATCCATGCCTCCCTCCTCCTTGGTTTTCCCTGCTTTCTCATAGTCTCTGCTCTGCCACAGGAGATGTGACTCTGGACCCTCTGACAGCTCATCCCAATTTGGTGCTCTCGGAGAATCTAAAGAGCGTTTATTTCATCGACATCCCCCAGGAGCTGCCACACAGTTCTCGGCGTTTCACTRCATACCCCTGTGTGCTGGGATCATCTACCTACTCATCTGGCCGCCACTATTGGGAGGTGGAAGTAGGGAAYAAAACCCACTGGGCTCTGGGGGTCTGTTACGAGTCTGCCAGTTCCAACGTACAAGAGCCCAAGCAGGAGATGGGCTATTGGAGGGTGCGTCTATGGAATGAACAATATGTGGCCATGACGACCCCCTTTACCCCACTGCTGCTTAACGTTAAACCCAAGCGTGTTGGAATCTTCCTTGACTATGAAGCYGGAAAAGTCTCCTTTTATAACATGACTAACTGCTCTCATATCTACACCTTCGATGTCATCTTTGCTGAGGCAGTCTGTCCCCTCTTCTATCCAGGCATATGCATAGGTGATGTTAATGCTGACCCACTGAGTATATGTGAACCCTCCGACTGGTACTAATGGTTTGTTGCTCCTTTTCTAATAGATACAATATGCAATAGAAAAAAATGTCCAAAAGGAAATCCTGAGCAAACCTCTGGTCCAAAACCTGTTTTCAGCAACAAGAAGCCCTGGATTTACAAGGAAACTAAGTATGCTTGCTTCTCCCCATGTTAGACCTCTGCAGCTCCCCATAATCTCTAGCAGCTTCTGGAACCTTGTAGAGCAGTTAAGATAACCCTAGAAGGGTGCTCAAGTCTATATTGCTTTTTGTGTGTGTGCATTTTTAAATTCCAGACTAATTGGCAGTCTGTGTTGATGAATGCCTTATGATTTGCCAGATGACTTTGAAATAAATGATTATTTTGGGAAAGTAGTTCCTACCGTCATAATTCATAGAATCACAAGAAATGAAAACATGTACCTGTCCTCTTAATAAGCAAGCATTTCCTTTCCTATTTATGGTCTTTTGGCTAGTTTCAGAAATTAAACATGATTGACCTGTCTTACTTTTATGGACCAGAATCTAGGGACCAAACTGCTATCAGTAGGGAGACACAAATGGATTTTTTTTTTTTTTTTTTTTTTTGATGTTTTCTGCTGATAGCATCCTCGGGATGACTGGAAAGCCCCCTGCAATGCGCTTAGCTGCCATTTAAGATTTTCTTTTTTTTTCAAATGATGCATTTGTTTAAGCCATCAGCCTGAGGTGTGGAGTCTGTCAACTCTGATTTGGATGTTAGAGTCTAAACTAGAGATGAAAAATACCTTTAGATTTTGATTCATTGGATAATTGTTGGATAATTATCTTAATATACTTATTATTATTAAATAGAGTGGATATAAATAAAGTTTTTAGAGACATCTGAACTCTATTATGCTATGAATAGAGAAAATATTTCCATATTATTCAGATGGTCTAGTTCACAAATACTAAGAGATTCCTTCCATTTATATAGGTGGTAAACGTTGTCAATCAGTGCACAAAGAGATACACAGATATAGATGCAGTTCTATATTATTTACATAGTGGCAGTCATACCTGATCTGTTCTGAAGACGATGCCCTGCTATTCTTTTATTTAAGTGTATGTAGGAATTTCCTAGCTTGGGGAAATTGCACACCCATGTATGGTCGCAATGCTCTTTCTCAGTTGATAGAGAAGTTATTAGGATGGTTCAGCTCATCTGTCACGTGAGAAATATTTACTTTGGGGTAGGATGAATGCCGATTCCTTGATTTCTGTTCGCCTGCTGCACAGAGAGCTGCACATAAAGCCATGATACAGATGCAAATGCCTTTGGATAGTAACAGACAATCATGCTATTTTTAAAGCTGTTGCAGTATAATTTAAAAAGGCCAGAAAATGCATCATAAACCCACTGACAGTATGACCCACAGCTGAGGGTGAACCTTTGTTCAAATACTTTAATACTTTACTATTAGAAATGAACATTCATGGGCAATGAGAGCTGAGTTCCAGCAGGAAACAATCCTTAGCTTAGCCTTTATAGAAAAGCACAAACTGCAGAAAAAGGTACTACCAAACATATTCTTGATGTTTAGGTCCATCTCTAGGCATGAGTTTTTATCATCCCAGCACAGAGACATAGTGGAGATTCACCCAGATTTATAGTCACAGCACACACGTGGGAGTCTGCAGAGCAGTCCCTTTAATGGAGCGAGTCCAGTCAAGGGTCATGAAACAAGCCTTTCACAAGGGAAAGCAGAGGACTGTTTAGCCTAGAGAAAAGAAGGCTCATGACAGGGGGTCTTATAACAATAAGATTTTATAACAATAAGTCAATAAATACGTGATGTGAAGGTTCAAAGAAGATGGAGTCAGACTCTTCCCAGTGRTGCCCAGGGACAGRAAAAAAAAAAAAGGCAATCGTCACAAACTGAAACTCAGGGAATTCCACTTGAACTGAAGAAGCTTCAAGGATGACTGAACGCTAGGACAGATTGTCCAAAGAGGATGCAGAGTCTCTGTCATTAGACATATTCAACATGTAATTGAATATGGTCCTAGGAATTCTGCCCTAGCTGCCCCTCCTTGAGGACTGGACCAGACATTTTCCAGGGCTCTCTTCCAACTTCAACTATTCTGTGATTCTTTACGCACCCGTTTCCACAGTTTTGTCAACCACATCCTCACTTCTTCCTGGAAGGAATCTCCGTTTCTTTCCATGGGCTTGTACTGACCTAAAGCACACTGTAAACCTACCTCCAGCACTGGCAATGTAAAGAAAGACTCAGGTGTACCTGTGAAATATTCCCTGAATCCTTGTGATTGCAAAATCTTCTCGCCTCTGCCCAGGGCAGAAAWGCAGTCTTAGAAGAGCAGCTTATTCGTAGCCTTCAATGCAGTTCACATCTCAACTTATGGGAGCTGATTTCCAGCCTCGCAGACCAGTTGTGAGGTGCATGGTGGACACTATGACCTGGTGTGTCTATTCACGCTGTGGATACGGCAGCTGTATTCTTGGCATGCCTGGTGAAAACATGCCCGGATTTCTGACCTTAAGTGATGGCTAGCTTTTCTTCCAGTGAATCTTACACAAAGGATCTGCTCTTTCACAGGARTAATATGGTCGAATAAGGTTCTACYACAGAAGAATGTGTGTCTTTGTGTGCTATAGTATCTCTTCCTGTCATTCACACTCTGTAASGCCATGTATCTAAGTTTCCTCTGTGGAGGAAAATCTACCAGCTTATCTGCTGTTATGAAAATGAGGTTAGTCATGCCATCCAGTTGACCTCCTAGAGGTGCACACCTTTTAACTGTAAAGGAAGCACAGGCAAGGAATTTTGATCCCCGCATCTCTATTTTAAATGACTAAAGTTAGAGGAGATGAGTCCACCACTTGATAGGGAGAAATTATAATTTGCAGGACCTACCCAATTGYTTAGGATCCAGAGAAGATAGCTGGGAGAGATGTTCTCATCTTGTTAAAGCAGTTCGAACCTGTCTGGTCATTCTCCTTAGTGTATTTTTAACTTCCTTATTCCTCAGACTGTAGATCATGGGGTTTAATAAGGGTGTGAAGATCCCATAGAGCATGGAAACGATCCTGTCCTGCTTGGGTGAATAGCTGGAGGAAGTCCGTACATACGTGCAAATGGTGGTCCCATAGAAAAGGCATACCACTGTCAAGTGAGAGCCACAAGTGGAGAAGGCTTTGTGCCTGCTCTCAGCTGAGTTTATGCACAGGATAGTCAAGAAGATATAGATGTATGAGATCAGCGTGACCAGAAAGGCACCGCTTCCAAGGACCCCAGCAACTGTGAGAATCACCAGTTCCCTGATATAAGTAGGAGAGCAGGAGAGGGCCAGCATAGGGGGGATGTCACAGTAATATTGGTCAACTTTATTAGAATCACAGAAAAAGAGGGTAAAAATGAAAGACGTGTGCAACAGAGAATTAAAAAATCCTGCTATCCAGGTCCCAATGACCAAGTGAGCACACAGTTTCATGTTCACAATATTCATATACTGCAACGGATAGCATATTGCAACGTAACGGTCATATGCCATCACAGCCAGGAGGAAAATCTCTGTGCCCACAACATCAATGAGGAAGAACAGCTGGACCATGCAGCCAGTGAATGAGATTACCTTGTTCTCAAACAGCAAGGCCTCCAGCATCTTTGGTACAGTTATAGTGGGGCATAAGATATCCAGGAGAGAGAGGTTGCAGAGCAAGAAGTACATGGGGTTGTGCAGGCGAGTATCCGTGCTGATGGCAACAAGGATTGTAATGTTGCCTGCCAGGGTGGCCAAATAGATGAGCAAAAACAGCACAAAGAGAAGGAAACGTACCTCTGGAGCATCGGAGAGACCTACAAAAATAAATTCAGATACTGTTGACGCGTTGATCCTGTCCATCTTACCTGTCRTTGTGGAGATGATTTCAAAGACGTGCCTGGAACAAAGAAGCAGTAACTTTGTCAAAAGTGCATCCTTCTTTCAAAAAGCCTGACCTTTTTTTGTCCATTTAGTCGTTCAAAAACACTCATTGGTTTCCCTCACCTCACTCAAAAATCTAAACTTTACTCTCATGTATCTAATGCAACARGCAAAAAATAGGTGTCAAGGATACACTCATTAGTCAAGAAAGTTTACTTCATTTTGTGCAATTCATCTTCTTAAACTTTGGAAAGGTGAAGAGTTGAAGACACTTTAAGCTCATCTCCAACCACCATCTCTCTCTCTAAGATATTTGCAGATACGTTCTTTCTGTTTGTGTTAAATATATGTYCTAGCCCAGTGGTTTTCAGTAAGAATGTTAGGAATAGTCAGAGATAAGTTTAATCCTGTCTCAATTCAAATGGGTACAATGAAAGCAGAGGTGAATTTATCAAAGCAGCAACCAAATTTGTCTGTAGCCCTACCCTAAACAAGGTGAGTGCAATACAAACCTCTAGAAGTGATTTCAACTTAAACTACTTAATGATGCTGCTATTGTCAAAGGACAAAATATTGTCTCTAACTGAAACTAAAGAATGGGTTTTTTAGGTGAAATAATTCCAGCACAGAGGAATACCACTCCCAGTAGTTACTGGGATGTATGGTATACACAGAATGCATTTTGTTCTTTCAGCATTATCTGATGAGATCTGAAAAATGGAATATAATCTAGTATCTGATAAAGACTTCTATACCTAAATCTACAAATTTTGCACTGTAGACTTTCATAACAGCATTATTACTTTTAGGATCTACTCAGAAATTTATATTTTTCCTCCTCTCCCAGTGCATAGCAGTTTAGGCAGACTCGGCATTGACATACCTTTCCAAATACCTCGCATTAGTGTATTAAACAATAACTCAGTACTTGCAGGAATGACTTGCACACCGGTCCCATAATGACAGCTAGCAAGAATATTCTAGCTGAATCTTGTTTAGGAAATTCTTTACTGTCAACCATTATAGCAATTCATGAGCAGCCAAACCATTTGCACTCTTCAGCCAACACCCAAGGAACACAGGGAAAAAACATCACAACCTTATTTTCAAATCTGGATCACAACGATTATATGGGGTAAATAATATAGTATGTTGTTCCTTGTGAGAGAGAAAAATAAACAACATWAAATAGATAACTATGATACCAAATCTAAAACAACCTATCTCTTGCCTCATTCTCATAGAATCTTATTTCCAGCTTGAAAAGGACTAAGGTCAGACCTTAAAATATCATTAGAAATGTTTCAGTCAGCACTAACACATGGTGCTTTAAACCACAGCGTCATGTGTTCTTAAAATGGGAAAGTTATCGAGGTGAAATACAGTGGAAAATTATCACAGAAACACTCACTGCTGCA